AATTTGTTAAACAGGATAAGGTGATAGGAGAGAAGCCACAAATGCTAAATCTTTTTGATCTTCCAATTTTTTTCTGTCCAAGCAAATGGAATTTTCAACGATTGTACCTTATTATGAGCAGAACAAAAATAGGAGTAATGACATTATACAAAATGACACATTTTTGAAATCTGCAAAATAAGGACCATAAGATAGACAAGTGAGATGTAGCTAGGATATAACTAATACATACACTATAAAAATACTGCAGGGCCTGGGAGCAATGACCCATCAGTGGCAATAAGCACACGCTGCAATCAGATCTTGGTTTCTAAAATACCTTCCTCCACTAAAGGAACCAGAACTCCTTGGAGAAATGGTCCATTCCAGGGTTGCAGCAGGGCAAGTACAAGATGAGCTAGCAACGTCTTACTGCAGTCTTAGAGTACTTAAAATAAGTGCTCAAGTACTTAAAATGGGGCCATTTTAAAAAGACATCAGAGCTGGGTTGAAGTAGTGGCCCCTGGCCAAATCCAGGGCAAGCTGATATCAAAATAACCAACGACAGTAATGGATTATAACTCACTGAATAAAATAAAAATCTATGAGTCAATATGAACCTGAAGAAATCAACAACAAGGAAGGAAAAAGTTCTTTACAATAAAACCCCAACTCATCAATATAGAAGGAATGTCTGAGTTTGAAAGTCATCAAAGAATACCAAAACTAATCGGTAACAGTGTAATAAAGAACAGGATGTTTATACAGTCTCAAAGAATCTCCCCACAAATTACTTCTTGATTTCAAGGGGGAAAAGTAGTAACTTTATAGTACAGAAACATGGCAGATACTACCTTAATCAAATGGTCAAACTTAACCTCATCAGTATGAGATCAAATTGACATCATATGCCTTAGATAGGATGAACTGAGAACACAACATTACTTTAGTGCTAATCTTGATAAAAATGCACGATCTTAATCTAATCATGTGGAGACATCAGATAAAGCCAAATTGGGGGACATTTTACAAAAAAAACTGACCTATACTCTTTGAAAATGTCAAGGTCAAAAAAAGAGAAAGGCATGCTAAAGAACTGTTGCAGAGTGAAGGAGTTGAAATAGCCACGAAAACTAAGCTCAATGCATGATCCCATATTGGATCCTGGATCATGAAAACAGCTATGAAAGATCTACTTGAGACAGCTGTTGAGATTTGACTTTGGACTGTGTATCAGACATTATTGCATCAATGTTCAATTTCCTCATCATTGTATTTGGTTATGAAAGACACTGTCCTTATAATTAGGAAATATATACTTAAGTATTTAGGGGTAAACGTCATGATGTTACTTTCAAATGGTATAGGAAAAAAATATATAGACAGAATTATAAAGCAAGTGGGGCAAAAACGGTTTGTCTGGGTAAAGTATATATGGGAATTTCTTTTACTCTTCTTACAACTTTTCTGTAAGTTTGAAGTTAAAATAAAAAAATTACAAAAAATTTTAGAAAGATAGATGGGTATGTACATATTTAAAGTTAGAAAAATTACTTCCCACCCAGCACACCCTATTTTTACCCCCTCAAATCAATGTGTAAAATGATTTAAATATTTAAATATGCAGAGAAAATAGAAATTTTTGGTTAAAAAATTGTTTACAGAACAAATCCTCCCATTCAATAAAAATACCAAAAGGAGAATCATGGCCATTTATAGTAATTTGAAAGATCATCACTTACTGGTTCAGTCTTAAACTATAGGTTGAACATCCCTAACCTGAAAATCAATCTGAAATCTGAAATATTTCTGGCTCCAAGCATTTCAGATAAGGGATACTCAAACTGTATTAGAATTAATCAAGGAACTGAACTGTTTAATTTTCAGCAGAGTTCTACAAAGGCAGAAAAAGATACCAAACAGGTTGTAACATATAACTAACAAGATATGAACTACTACTTCACGAAGCAGGAAAATAACTCCAAGTTCTGGGCCTTCTAAAAACATGACAAGGAGGGCCAAAAGGACTTCACGGAAACACTGTCATATTTCTCTATCCCCACTATAAAATCCACATGGCTCATTTTGATTAGACTAAAGTAGCATGCAAAGCAGAAAATAAAACGTTATTCCCCAAAGGGTGCTAGAGCAATCGTCGGCCAAGAGCTTCAGTCAGGACTCATTCTTTGGCATGTGGCACGGGAGGAAATGTATTTCGGAAAGAAGCGAGCACTCTGCCATCATGAAAGATGTATTCTAATTCTATTACTTACAAAATGGTGAAGATGTCCAAGGAGGGAAAACAAAACAAACACTTCGAGTGACCCAACCTTCTATAACCCGAACCTAGTAAGTTCATCATGCTACATCTTCAAAGACACTTTTTTTAAAGGCTAAGTAAGACTGTGGAAATAAAAAGAAAACTTGAGTAGGAAAAGATCAAGAACTGGTGTAAAGCTAAAGCAGACCTGCTTCCTCATCCTCCTCCTCCTCTTCCTCATCATCGGAAGCTGATGACAAGGGAGTTGGTGCGGAGCTAGCTTGATTATTAACATAGTCACCATACTGCATGCCTGTAAAGTGGAAAGCACAAACACAAGAGTCAAACCAACGAGAAAGATGAGAAATAAAATTTTGACATTGCATTAAAAGTGAGAAAGAACTCTGACATTCCAAAGAACATCCCAGCATGCATATTAATATTAGCAAATGTATTCCCAAAACTAGAACCGTTAGAAAATCTCTGCAAAGCTGTTTAGTAAAAGCAGCTTTAATATGACCTGGTTTAAGTGGGAAAAAAGTACCATGTATTACACTGATATTTAGAAAACTGCAACAAAGTTCTCTGGAAATTTTACTGAGCTCTGTACCCGTTTACCTTTTTTGAACTTAGGGCCCTTGTGGCATACTTCCTTTGGGACTGTGCCTTCTTGGTAGGCAGTGATCATTTCTACTCAACTGAATTTGTACAGCACACAAAACACCTACAGAAACTTGGCACCTTCCTCCAGCTAATGCCACCTTGATGGTAACTCACTCCCATAACGGACAAAGAATGACAGTTAAAGAAAAGAACTGTGTTCAGTATAGTTCTCTGCTCACGGAAGATACTCAAAAAAAAAAAAAGCAAGCTCGTTAACTGTGGCCCTACAATTATAGAAAAGTAAATTTTCGGACACAGCCAGTTGCGGCAGCATCATGCAATCGCCCGCGTGAGTGTGACGTGGGCGAACGAGGCTGCTGCTCTGGGTGCGACACGCCCAACAGAAGGCCAGTGCTGGGGAAAAGGCCCGATAACTGCTACTAGTAACTGTGTAGCACTTCCCTTCAAAAATAGTTGATCGGGTATTTCTATGACTTAATTTGGTAGAATCAGGACTTAAAACATGAACATCCACACAATTGCTAAGAGGGAAAATAAAAATAACCTTAATTAAAAATGAAAACACTACAACATTAAAATCCTTGTGGGAAAATCTTACAGCTCCACTTCGAAAGAAAGAAAAAAGAAAACCCAGAAACAGTGGGGTTTTCAAGAACACTTCACACCACCGAAGCACAACGAAGCCCTGACCCACCAAAGTCACCAGGCAGGGCTCTTATGCTCTCATTGTTTTTTTCGGATGACCTTTGGATTAGCAGGGATAAACAACTCATCTCTATAGTAAGAAAAAAGCTATTAAAGAGTAAAATTTGAGTTTATATGAGAAGCGAAGGTTAAACTGTAGATAAGTGAAGCCTTAAATCTTTGAACTATGACTAATAAAGTCATAGAAAAATCGGCTAGCTTTGTTGAAACATCTTTTAATAAGTAGGTAAAATAGCAGTTAACCACAAATTCATCTGAAAAAGTAAAAATCACTGTAAAACAGGTTCACGCAATACAAAAAACAAACTTGATACCTTGAAAGACCAAATTCAGAGTGGCATGTTCCTCTAACAAAAGCCTAATAAAAATGAAAATTTGACTAATATTAGACCTTGAGTTAAATAAACTAGAAGTTTATGACAACATAGGTTAATAGTAAAAAGTTTTTATAGAAAAGAAATTCTTCAATTTAAGAACTTGTTTAAAAACGGAGTGCTTTCTCAAAACACAATTAGCACTGCACTTTAAAAAGCACACATATATGTAAGTACATAATAGGAAGAAACAAAAAATTCCATTTATTGTGCTGAGCTAAGCAAGGACAATGAGTAGGAGAAAAATCAGAAGAGAATCCATTCTTTTCATGACTGAACATGCAGGTTGTTGGCTCTGACTAACCAAAGGAGCCAAAGTAAGGCCATGTTTACATGTGCTATAACACAGGTATTTTCTTCTTTCTCCACAATTACTGAATGAGACCAGATTTATTTCACTTATTATTAGACAAATAGCCAATGCTTAATTGGAAGCAAATGAGATGGCTATATAATGATAAAAAATTTATAAAGCAACTACTTAATGATAAGAACAAAGCTCTGAATAACACAGACTAGAGTAATAGTATTTATTGTGGTTGTCAATGAACCATATTAACAGAATGTCACACAACA